TATTTTCGTTTTATTAAGATTCTACAATCAGTACAGCAACTGTATTAAAGAATCCAATAACAACAAATCAAATATCAACTCAATCTCAAATAAAACAAGGTATGTTTCATTAATTAAAAAATAGTTTTAATATTTTTAAAACTGAGATAGAACTTTTTCATAAATTCATTTTTCAAATATTTTTATTTTTCTAATCAGAAATAACAATTTCTCTGGAAATAGTATTCATGAAGTTTTTCAAAATTTGGTTTTTTCTATTTTTCTATCACTTAATATAACACTGAAAAGAGATTTCATCCATCGTTTTCCAATTCTTTTTCTCAATGAGCCATTGAGAGTACCATTAAACGTTTAAAATAAAAATTCTTTTCAAAAGTAACAATGTTTTTCATCTGAGAAATTTCTTTTAATATTTTAATGAAAAGATTATCTAGTTTTTATATTGTTCAATAAATTTAAGTTAAGGTTAACACTTTAGTTTAGAATTTTCAGAAAGAATTATTTTATGTAAATCATTGAAATAAAAATGATATTCATTTAAAAACATTGTCTTAAATTGAAGTTTTATGAAAATCAAATAAGGAATTTTGAATTAAAAAATCTCAGTCGAATGAAGAAGCTATCTGGAATTAGTTTTGTTTGATTAAAATTAAATTTGACAAAAAGAAAATTTCATTTTATTGAAACAAATTCAAATACAGGTTTTTCTTCTTATTTTCGCCCTATTTTTATTTTAGAACCAAAGAATAAATATCAACAATCTGGAATTACTGTTGCTGGAGGAAATGGAAAAGGACATGAATTAAATCAACTCTCTCAGCCTCGTGGGATGTTTATTGATAATGATAAATCAATGTATATTGCTGATTATGAGAATCATCGTATTGTTAAATGGAAATTGAACTCAAATATTGGTGAAATCATCGCAGGTGGAAACGGAAAAGGAAAACAAAATAATCAATTGAATCAACCCGTAGATTTAATATTTGATAAAGAAACTAATTCTTTTATTATTTCTGATAATGGAAACGGACGAGTAATTCGATATTTTGATCAAAATCCAACAAAGCAACAAATTCTTATTCCACTTATCTATTGTTCTGGTCTAGCAGTCGATAAAGATGGATCTATTTATATTTCTGATTGGCAGAATCATCAAGTAAGACGACGGAAACAAGGAGATACAAAAGGTGAATTAGTTGCAGGTGGAAACGGTCAAGGAAATCGACTTAATCAACTTAATGAACCACGTAATATCTTTATTGATAAAGATTATTCTCTTTACATATCAGATGAAAAGAATCATCGTGTAATGAAATGGAAAAAAGATGCAAAAGAAGGTGAAATTGTTGCTGGTGGAAATGGTCAAGGAAATAGTCTCAAACAATTGTCTCATCCTCAAGGAGTGGTTGTTGATCATTTGGGTCAAATCTATGTGGCAGATGAAAGGAATCATCGAGTCGTGCGTT